CCGCAGCCCATGGCGGAGAACAGCCGCCACTTCCTGATGTCCGACCGTTCCTTGCACCTGGAGGCTTCGCTCGACAAGGAGGTGAGATAGGCCCTGGCAGAGCCGGGAGGGGAAGCCCGCGAGCCGGGAGGGGAAGCTCCTCTGCGCCTGACCGAAAAAAGGAAGCGCCGCAGGAAACTGACGCGGGCTTCGACCGCTCTCTGCCAACTTCCCCAAGTGTTGCAATCCGCTTCCTCGCTTGGGATCGGCGGCCTCTGGGCTGCTAGAAACGAGCCTCTTAGAAAACAAACGCCATGGAAGAGAAATCAATCAAGGGGTGGAATAAAGGAGGCTGAAGGCAGCCGGAGTTTGCACAGGGAACCGGAAAGCCCGTTGTGAGGAATTGCCAGCCGTGAGCTGCCACGGTCCCCAGCAAACTCAGCCCGAGGACCGGTCGTCCTGGCTGGGGAGGGGCGGGGAGGGGTGGGTGGGTGTCCGTCATGCAGGGAGCCCGACACGTCCGTCTCATTTTCCTCCCGACTTAGCTTTATTACCACGGCGAGCCAATCAGCGTCAACGTTCACGTGACCAACAACTCCAGTAAAAGTGTCAAGAAAGTGAAAGTGGCCGGTAGGGGAAGGGCGGCCCTGCTGGCTGGAACCCTGACTTTTTGGCGGGTGGGGGGGAGGAAGGGTTGCTCAGCGGGGGGAGGGGTGTCCTCTTATAGGGACCTGGAGCAGAACTTGGGGGGTGGGGGGCCCTCAAGGAGGCCGAGGATCCTGCAGGGCACGTGCTGCCTCCCCCCCCATCCCCTGTTGGGGAGCGTGGGGGGGATTCCTCGGCCCTTCCCTGGGTTGAGCGGGGGAGGGGGGAGGGTCTCCCCGACTGACCAAGTGCCTTCCCTTCCGGCAGTGCGGCAGTACGCAGACATCTGCCTCTTCAGCACCGCCCAGTACAAGTGCCCCGTGGCCCAGATAGAGCAGGAGTGAGTATCCCCCCTCCACAGCGAGCAAATGTTTATTTATTTACATTTTGGGGGGGGGGTCAAGTGATTATAAGATAACAGGTATAAGTAAAAACAGTTTTTAGAAAAACACATAGAAACATAGAAAAATAAAAGAAACAATGGGACAAGGACGGTATAAGTACAAACATGGTTATGAATACATGAAATACATTGAAGAAATATATATAAGATACATAGAGGATACATATAAGAAAAATAAATAAAAGAAACAATAGGACAGGGACGCTATAAGGATAAACATAGTTATGAATACATGGATACATATAAGAAAAATAAAAGAAACAATAGGAC